TCCTATGGGAAAAAGAAAAAGCAAGATGTATTATGAACAAGTATAAATTCCCACATGATGAATGTTATCATCATGTATATCTAAAATGTACCAAGAAATGTTATGCTTAAAATAAATTTTTTTTAAAAAAATGGGCTGGGTATGTACCTCAGCAGTGCAGCATCTGCCTATAAGCGCAAGATTCTAAGTTCGACCCCTAGTACCAAAATCAATCAATCACTGGTCACTGTGCTTTTTTTTTTTGCACTTTCTTTGCATAAAATATTGAACCATGGCTCCAAAGTAAGTTAGTGCTACCAGCAGTAAAGCTAAGAGAAAAACTGAGAACCATGATAATTAAATCACTGCAAAATTTGTTAAAGTCCTGGAAAAATGAATTTATAAGTATAATTTTTGGGCCTCAGACCCAATTATTTGGTCTTTCATTATTTCTTATGGGAAAAATATGTTCAGCTCTTAAAGTTTTCAGTGTTTGAACACACACACAAAAAATTTTTTAGTAGTAGGACTCAAACTCAGGGCCTCACACTTGCCACATAGGCACTGTGCCAATGAGCTACATTCCTCACCCTTGCATACAAATTTGAAACAAACTGAGTTCAACAACTGAGCTATCACTGTATATATAAACTGGGAGTTGCAAGAAAAAGGGCAATGGCACAAAAAAATGTATTTTTTTTAAAAAATGGCTAAAGTAGTTCCAGATTGGATGAAAACTATCAATCCATTAGGCAAAGAGAACCACAAGCAGGTTGAATACAAAAAAAACTAGGTATATCACAAATTGCTGAAAAGAATGATAAAAGAGATAATTAAGCAGGGTGTGGTGGCACACACCTGTAATCCTAGCACTCAGGAGGCTGAGGCAGGAGGATCTAGCCTGGGCTACAAAGTGAGTTCAAAGCCAGCCTGAACAACAGTACAAGGAGACCCTGTGACAGACAAACAAACAAACAAAGAGATAATTAAGATAAATGGAGGAACAAAGATAAGAATCACATTCCTTTTTCCTTGGTAATAGTGGTTGAACCCTGGGTCTTGTATATGCTGGGCAAATGTTCTTCTACTGAAGTACAACACCAGCCAGCCCTTTTTGAGTCAAGATCTCATTCAATTACCTGGGCTCTCCTAAAACTTATGATCCTCCTGCCTCTGCCCCCCAAGTAGCTAGGATTATAGGCATGTGCCACAACACTCAGCTACAATTATATTCTGCTTATCAAAAAATTAAAATTAAGAAAACAATATAATAACATCTTTTAAGTGTTAAAAAGGGAGGAAAAATTAGAATTCTATATCCAGTGAAAATATCACCCAAAATAAAAACTGCACATAATCCTACCATTTAATCCAGCAATTATGTTCTTCGGTATTTACCCAAATGAACTAAAAACTTATGTTCACACAAAAATCTGAACACAGATGTTTTCAGAAGTTTTATTCGTAACTACCAAAAGTTGGAAGCAAATAAGATATCCTTCAGTAGATGACTGAATAAACTGGTATAGCCAGATAATGGAATATCATTCAGCACAAAAATGAAATGAAACATGAGGAACCTTAAATGCACAAAACTATATAAAAAAAATCTAAAAAGGCCACATACTGTGTATGATTCAAATTCTATTACATTCTGGAAAATGCAAACCATGGAAAGTAATCAGTAGTTGCCAGGGATTAGAATGACAAGGCAGGAGGGAGAACAGACGATTTTTTTTCACCTCCTGGTACTGGGGATTGAACTCAAGGAGCACTGACCTATGTCTGCATTTTGAATCTTACTTTGCAACAAGGCATTGCTAAATCATTCAGGCTAGCCTTGAACTTACAATCCTCCTGCCTCAGCCTCTCAAGTAGCTGGGATTTAGGCCTGCACCACCATGCTTGGCTAGCACAGATGATTTTCAATGCAGTGAAACTATTCTGTATGATTCTGTAATGGTGAAAATGTCATTATACACTTGTCAAAACCCACAGATGTATAATACCAAGAGCAAATCCCAATATTATGATCCTTGGGTGATAATTAAGCAACAATGGAGGTTCATCCACCATAATAATGCAGTCTTCTGGTGCCAGATGCTGACAGTGGGGGAGGCTATCCACATGGGCAGCAAGGGTACACAGGCGCTTTGGAGTCTCATGTCCTGATGCCTTTAATCTACTTCCTGCTTAGTTTTGCTGTGCTAAAATAGAACTAAAATTATTCTAAAAAGAAAGTTTGTTTTTAAAAAGGGTAATAACTTTTTTTTTTTTTTTGAGACAGGATCTCCCTATGGAGTTCAGGCTGGTCTTGAACTCACTATGTAGCCCAGGCTGGCCTTAAACTCACAAGTGATCCTCCTGCCTCAGCCTCCCAAGTGCTGAGATTGCAGACATGGGCCATTATATCTAGCTGATAAATAACCTTTTCAAATCAACAAAAGCTGAGAAAATTCATCACCAGTAGATCTGAAATAGGAAAGTATTAAAGGAAATTCTTCCAGTGAAAGGAAAATGATTCCAGACAGAAACTCAAAAGAGGTTGGAAATGGTAAACACATGACTTAGTCAGAAGTTTTAAATTTTCTTACACAGTTATCAGACCATTTTTGGGTGGTTCCAGGGATTGAACTCAGGACCTCAAGCACATTAACTAGGCATGTGTTCTACCACTAAAATACACACCTAGCTCCATTAACAGGTTTTAAAGAGTGCCACATTATATGATGATAGGCTATAATGAGATGAATAGGGATACTTTAAATCTTAGAACAATGGTTCTCAAAGTTTTAGATCTCAGGACACCTGTGTATCTTAAAACACTAAGGACCCCAGAAAGTTTTTATTATACATTTCGAAGGTTTTCCACCACATTAGCAGAGAATAGAGGTCTAACTCCTTAATATGATAGATAAGCCTACCTTTTTACTTGGCTCCTACTTCCTGCTTGGCTATTTTGACGGGCTGGATTTCCTAGCATAACGCCTGTAATACCAGCACTCTGAGAGACTGAGGCAGGAGGATCTCAAGTTTGAGCTCACCCCAAGCAATTTAGTAAGACCTTGTCTCAAAGTAAAAAATAAAATTTAAAAAAGGGCTAGAGATGTAGACTTAGTGCAAAGGCCCTGGGTTCAATCCCTAGGACTGAAAAAATAAAAAACAAAAAACAAAAAAACAATGGAGGGAAGGGGGCTTTCCCCCTAAGCATTAAGTAAGCAATATGCTTACTCTTCATTTGCTTTTCAAGGTCTAACTTAATATACATACATATGAACAAGCGTGAACCATGATTAACGGCTAAAGTGCCCACAAACTTGACTTTACGTAGAAGACTCGTTTTCCAACACACTCCCTGCCCCCACAATACTAGGGATCAAGCCCAGGGGTGTTACATCCCCAGCCAAGGCCCTTCCTTTTTGAGACAGGGTCCCACTAAATTGTCCCGGCAGGACTTGAACCTGTGATCCTCCAGCAAGTGGTGCGATTATGGCTATGCACCATGGCTGCTGGCTTTCAATATCCCCTGCTAACTTGAGGACAGCTGTATTGCTGCAGTACAGATATCACAATGCCTGTTTATTTTTCAAAAGATGTAACTTATACAGCTATAGAAGTATGATAGAGGGAGCTGGGGCTTTTTGCTTGTTTGTTAAGTTGAAAGATAATTCAAATGGCAGTGGTATAACAGTCCTGGGCATATTCCTAAATGATTCAAGGAAACACGGCAGCATAGCAGCTGGTGTCAAGTGGTCAAGTGATTTAACAGATTCATCTGAATTTTAATGAGCTCCACATAGATTTAACGTAACTACAGACTTTTTTGGGCAAACATCAAATATATGGTGAAGAAAGAAAAGCATTTCCTTCTAAATAAAATATAAAAGAAGGTATGGATCTATTTCTACTTTACTTACCTTTTACTCCAGCACCTTTCTTTTCTCTTCCCTCTTTCAACTGACCCTACTAACTAGTGACTCATTTTCAAAAGAAAAAAAATATTACTCAGGTCTTAAAAGAATGGTCTCTAATTTCTTTTAAGATACCACATCCTTAAGGCCGGGGATTTAGCTCCAGTGGTTCCGACGCCTGTCTCGAAAGTACAAGGACCTGAGTTTGATCCCAGGTACCAAAAAAAAAAAAAAGAAAAAAGATACCACATCCTTAAAGACAGTTGGGTCCTGTTACAAGTAGAAAAAGTAAAGACTCTTAATTCAGTCACTGAGTACATGATTTATAAGACCTCCAATCCCAACTACTTTTGTCAGAGGCAGAGATGAGGAATAAGCTCGTTCTTCTCTTTTTCTAGAGACAGGATCTTGTTATGTAGCCTCGGCTGGGCTTGAACTTATGGCCTCATGTGCTTCTCCTGCCTCAGGAGGCATGGCTCTGCCTGCGCCAGCCTCCCTAGTGCTGGAATTACAGGCCACCTCACCTGGCTTCTTTTTTCTTCTATTACCTCTGCCTGAAATCTTTTTTAAAAGGGGGAGGAAGGTAGGTTTATATTTCTAAGTTTTAATGTAACCAGTTTAACTTCATTCCAGACCCAAAACACATTAACCTACACCATGCATCCAGGTTAAGTATTCAGTTTAAAAAGCCAAAACACATGTTACAAAGAAACCATCTATCCATCCAGCATCTCACCATCCAGAAGAATGCAGACCAACACTGACTAGGAAGGAAAGAGTTAAGATATACTAACATAAGTTATAAAAGATTATGAATACTATGACTATCTTGGGCTGCTCTCATTCTCTCTTCGCCTTCTGTTACTGTTCTTAGTGCCCCTAACTTCTTTTCATGACTGGTCTATTCAAACTCTTCTCCTGTATACATCCCTTCAATGATTAAGTAGCTAGTATGCATTTGAAGTTCTTGAAAGTCTAAAAGAAGGTCTCTCTAACGACCTCCATCTTGACACATGAACTTTCACGTGTTCTTCAGAATAAGACAAAAGACAGAATGACAGAAAACACATTCTAGGATAATTGGGAAACATATGTGTAAACTACACTCACCTTCATGGGGTTTTCATCATATGTTGGGGTTCCCAGGTCCATCTCAGCTTCATGCTCAAGGCTGGCATCATCTCCTGGGCTTTCCCAAGTAGGCGGATCCCACTGAGTCTGCCTAGAAGGAGTTAAGAACAGCCATGCTGTCATGGCTAGAACACAGAGAAACCTGGCACAGGCATTTGCTTATACACACACAAAATACAACATATAGTGGACTGCAGAATAAGTCAGCACTATGAGATTAAAATATAACATCTTGTGTACCTCTCACCTGACTCTTAATGCCCTAGAAATAGGATTTAGCAAAGTTTAAAAAGTAAGCAGAGTAGGTGTCTGCCTACACTATCCTTTGTAGATCAAGAGATCAAATAGTGATTACACCTAGTATACACCTGGAGCAAAATACATTAAATCAAATCACAATATAGCCCTCATAGTCCTTGATCACATAAGAAAACTGTCCCTCGCTTTTAGAAATATCAATCTGTACTGAGAACTGAACCCAGGCAATGCTGAGCTACAGCTACAGCCCAATTATTTTGAAACAGCCCAAGGTGACCCTGAATTCCTGATCCTCCTACCTCAGCCTCTCAAGTAGCTGGGATTACAGGCCTTTGCCACCACACACTGCAGGAATCTTGTTTGTAATTTTGCCCCTTTAGTTTAATGACTGACAGGATGTACAGGTTAAAACCAGTGCTCTCTGCTAAAAATATTCTTAACTGATTGCAAAAAACAAAAGGGCTCAGTTATATTAACACACTGAACATTTGTAGCTTTTTTTTTTTTGGTACCAGGGATCAAGCTTGGGTCCTTTCTCTTTCGAGGCAGGTGGCGGAACCCAAGTTAAATCCCCAGCCCTGTAGCTGTTTTGAAAATAAGCAGGCAAAGATTCAAAGATTCAATCATTCATTCATTCATTCATTTATGGTACCAGGGATCAAACTCGGGACCTTGCACTTGCGAGGCAGGTGCTGGAACCACTGAGCTAAATCCCCAGCCCAAAAATTTATTTTTTTAAAGCTAGATCTATAGGGTAAAAACTGGAAGTAAGGGCATTCATGTTCAGGAGTCCTAAGTCAGCTGTCACAGGGAATGCTATGAGGGCAGTCATCAATCAGCAATACTAAAGGCACCTGATGCATATCAATTTATAAACGACCATGAAAAGAGATTACACGTAATCTATACAAATAGGTAAAAAACAAAATCAAGATTTCTACTGAAATATACGAACTAAAACCATGATTATATTATGGACACTAAACAGATACATATGTCTGTTCATAGGTGCTAGAAAGGGAAAAATACCAAAAATGGAAAAGGAACACATAAATAAGAAATACGATCTTTTAAAAATTTTTTGGAGGAATAGCAATATACTAAAAAGCTTGTTTTGATGTTGAAAAAGTCTTGGGTTAAATTTACAGACACTGGTTTTAAAATCAATACACATCAATTAGCAACATAATAAGCATTCATTTTATAAAGATATGTTAATGAGAGTAAAGAAGGGTTTTCTAAGCAGAAAGCACAAAGGAAGAATATGAGACTTTACAAAAATATTAAACTTCTTAGGCTGTGGATGTAGCTCAGGCAACACGCCTGCCTGGCAAGGGCAACGTCCTGAGTTTGATCCCCAGAACCAAAAATTATGCTTCTTTATGCTATAAGATATCAAAAATAAAAACATTTGCAATATTTTTGATGAAGAGAAATAATGGAGACTGATGAGATGTTCCAAACAAGCAACTCACAAAAGAAACAAAGGCCAGTAATTTAATGAAGATGTTCCATTTGAACAATAAAAGAATTGGAAATGAAAGTGATTTCTCATCTATTAGACAAGATTAAGAGTTGACAAGAGGAAAAAGGCATTTCTGCACATTTATTTGTGAAGTCTAAATTTGTACAAACTTTTAGTAAGATCCTATCTCAAAATAATAAAGGGCTGGAGATGCAGCTCATTGTGAGGAAGGAAGGAAGGGAGGAGGGGAAGGGAGAGAGAGGAGGGGAGGGGAGAAGGAGAAAGGGAAAAAAAACAAAGCAGGGCCAGGGATTTAGCTCAGTGGTTTCCCCACCTGCTGCGCAAACATAAGGACCTGAGTTCGATCCCCAGTACCAAAAAAAAACCGAAAGTAAACCCTGACAAATTTCCCAACATAAAACGTGTACCTGTTTTGCCCAACTATTTCACCTGTAAGACTCTATTTGGGGTTAGCTCAGTGGTACAGCACTTCCTTACCATCCACAAGGCCCTGGGTTTAACATGTTCCTACCACATGAACCACCAGTGGTGTACTGGGATCTAATCACTTTTATCTCATCGCCTTTATTGGTCTTTTTACTAATAAAATTAATAAAAAGCTACCTGATGGTACAGTCATGCATGTAACACTGGTGGCTGAAGCCACTCAGCAGTGAAACATATACTGCAGCCCCACTATGAACATATTAATTCCTAACACTGGAAAACAAAAGAATCTACTCAAAGATTAGTGTTTCTGAGGATATCTAGGATTAGTTACATAAAAATAATGAAGATCCACCAATCAGGGAGAGTTAAATAAAATTTTTTAGCCCACCATCTTTATTGGTAAATGATGCAGACTACAAAACATACACAACAATTCACATAAGATTATCTACTGATGAGTGTACATACATATGCAGAAACCATGGAGATCTACATAAAACCTATGCAACTAAAGAGGTATTTTTATTTTGTTTTGGTAGTAGGAATTGAACCCAGGCCCTCACAAATGCAAGCATATAGTTTATCACATCCCATCCCCAGACCTATCTAAAAAGGTATTTTTAAAAAATATTAAATAGCTCTGGGTAGTGGTCTTTCCAATACATTTATTTCCTTATTAATACTTTCTTCTGATATTTGTTTTGTACAATAAGCCTACATAATTTTGGTCCAAATAAAACAATACAGCTTTCAATTATTTTCTTAGAAAAACAATCTAAGATAAAGTCAGGTTTGTTTGTTTTGAGACAGGGTCTCCCTTTGTAGTTCAGGCTGGCCTCGAGCTCAGTGATCCTCCTGCCTCTGCCTCACAAGTGCTGGGATTACAGGCATGCCCTACCACACCCGGCCTTGTTTGCTTGTTTTTGGTTTTTTTGTACTGGGGGATTGAACTGGGGTCCTTGCCTTGCAGGGCAGGCGGTGAAACCGCTGAACCCTAAAGTCAGATTTTTATACCTACAGGACTTGTCAAACCAAGGTTCATGGATCAAATCCAGGCCACTACATATTTCTATAAGGGTCTTTTGTTGTTGTTTTTCCATGGTAGAGGAGACCGAACCCAGGGCCTTCTTTTTTATTCTGAGACAGGGTCTTGCTAAGTCATTAAGTGGCCCAGGCTGGACTTTAACTTGTGTCCTACTGCCTCAACCTCCCAAAGTGCTAGGATTATAAGTGTGTACCACTATGCTTTGCTTCTAAAGTTTAATTGGACACAGACATCATTTACATATTATTTACGGTTGCTTACAAAATACTAGAAGAACTAAACAGTTATGATAAGAGACTGCTTAGCCAGCAAAGTCTGAACACACCCCCTATCTACAATGTTACTGGAGATAAAGTTACTAACACTTTAAAACAATCCCTAGTTATCTCTAAGAGTCTTAAGGATTAAAAGTACATCATAATAGGCTGAGGTGGTATTACTTCATGCCTATAATCCCAGCTACTCCTAAGGCTGAGGTGGGAGGATTTCATGTTACAGATGGTCTGGGCATTTAATGAGATTTCATCTAAAAAAAAAAAGTACATCAAAAACATATTTTAAAAGTACCAAAGTCTAAGATCTACAGTATCTTTTAAAATGTGATTCTGGGAATTCAGTAGCACTTAAACACAGTGGGCAACCAATAACTGTACAATTCCCCCAATGGTGGCAGCTTCTCTGACCAAGTGGAAGAATATTAGGGGATGCCCACACAGCCCTCTTACCTTGTGATCACATGGTAGTAATAAATCTTCCCTTCTGGATCTCGGGCTGTCTTCCAGTTGGGAGGTAAGACAATGGTTTTTGGTTTGGGAGGAGATGGGGGTGGCAGGTCCAGTAGATTATTTGTCACAACCATTTCAGGCTAAAAAAACACACATTTTTGATCAACAACATATCTCTCAATTGGCTCAACAGAATAAAATAGCCCAATTAAGCAATATAAAAATACACATCTAATTTTTTTTGGCTTAAATTCTTTTATTGGTACATTTTAGATATACAATATGTTTACATTTATCATTGGGTGCTTGGACATGTACATGATGTATCTTGGTTCTTATTTTTTCCCCATTCCCTGTGCTCCCCTTCCCTATTTACAAAGACTTTGTTTCCAATTTTCCTTTTCTCATAATTTTTTCTTTCCCTTCTTTCCTTTCCCCTTCCCCTCCCACTTCCTCTATCCTTTTGGACCTTTTCTTCCTATTTCACATTATTATTTGTTTTAATCCTTATTTACACCTTCAGTTTCTCACACTAGACAAACTATTTGGTATTTACACATATGTGTCCTACTTATTTCACTTAAGAGGATGGCCTCAATATGCATCCATTTAGCTATAAATGTCTCTAGTTTCTCATTCTTTATGGCTGAGTAGTACTCCATTTTATTTAAAAACCACATCTTCTTTATCCAGTTTCCAGTTGATGGGTACTTGGGCTGTTTCCAAGCCTTAGCTATTACAAACTGTGTTGCTATAAACATTGGTGCACATATATCACTGTGTTATGATTCTTTTGGGAAGATACCCAGCAGGGGAATAGCTCAGTCAAATGGGACCTCTAGTCCTAGTTCTTTTGGGTATCTCCATACTGATTTCCACAGTGGTTGCACCAGTCTGCACTCCCACCAAATATGGAGAAGGGTTTCCCTCTCCCCACAATCCCGCCAACATTTGTTACTGGTTGATTCCTTGAGAGCAGCCATTCTTTCTGGGGTGAGGTGGAAACTCAGTGTTGTTTTCATCTGCATCTCTCGAATGACCAGTGATGTTGAATATTTTTTCATACGTTTATTTGCTGCTTTTATTTCTTTGTCTGAGAAATGTCTGTTCATTTCAGATGCCCATTTTTGAATTGGGTCTTTGAATTTGGGGGGGGGGTCTGATTTTTTTCAGTTCTTTATATATTCTAGAGAGTAGTCCTTTGAGGTACAGTTGCTAAAATTTTTTTCCCACATTGCAGGTTGTCTCTTAGCTCTACACATCTAGTTCTTTAAGAAAGGACAAGGGAAAAGTAAAAACTAGAAAACAGCTGAAGGGGCAAAATATATGAAGGGATGTATCAGAAAATTGACAGTGGCTTCAAATTTACCATTCAAGATAACACATTAAAAAATACCAAGCCGGGGGCCAGGGATTTAGCTCAATGGTTTTGCCACCTGCTGCAGAAGTGCAAGGACCCGAGTTTGATCCCCAGTACAAAAAAAAAAAAAAGCTGTTTATCATCTACAGCAGTATTAATCCAACTTTAAATACCCAATGCTAAATGGCACATACCAATGTCAGGATACTGATTGGACTTCATTTTAAAAATAAACACAAAACCTGAAAAGCAAATACTATACAAATGTTAACATTTATCCATTACATTTCTCTGTATTTTTCTGTAAGTTTGAAATTTCATACTTGCATTTTAAAAATCTTAAGTGTTACAGGTTAAAAAGCATTGAAAGCCTCATAATCACTGTAATAGACTTAAGTGTTTCCCCCAAGTCCATATTCTGAAGCCCTAACTCTATTGCGACTGTACTTGGAGGTAGTGGCTTTAAAAAGGTAATTAAGGCTCAACTGAAGACATAAGAGCAGAGGACCAGAGATTTAGCTCAGTGGTTCCACTGCCGGCCTTTCGAGTGCAAGGACCGGAGTTCGGTCCCCAGTACCAAAAAAAAAAAAAAAATGGGGAACTAATCCAATTAGGACTTGGAGTCCACACAAGTAAAGGAAGTAACAACAGAGGACAGTCGCAGAGAACTGTCCTGTGAAGACACAGTGGCCAACTAGAAGCCAAGGACAGAGGCCTCTGGAGAAAACCAGCCCTTGACAACTTAATCTGTGACTTCCACTCCACAACTGTAAGAAAATGAATTTCTTTTGATTAGGCCACTCAGCCTGGTATTTTGTCACAGCAGTCTTAGTAGACTAACACAATCACCAGAAGGTCAGATATCCTTCATCACTCTATGTAAACCAATTGATGAAGCATAATTTTTTCAGCTTTACCTTTATTTGAGCAGTTAAAGAGGAATATGAGATCCCAGACTCAGATTAAATATCCTCATATGGGTCTCTGAGCGTCCCTTCTTTGAGCATTTCCCTGTCTATCCTCACCTTACTTTGCCAAGCTGGGGTTTTTGGCCCAGTTTAAGGTTTTTTTTCTTTTTAGGGTACCAGGATCGAACTTGGGACCTTGTGCTTGCCAGGCAGGTGGCAGAACCACTGAGCTAAATCCCCGGCCCCCCAGTTTAAGTTTTATTTCCTCCATTCCCACAGTGCTCTGTCTAGCCAGTGAAGTAATCTCTTTCCCTACACTTCTATGTCACTGAAGAATATTCCAAATCATCTGGTACTCTCTGCACTAACCTATCTGTTTAAAGCCCATTTCAGTTGCCAGATTGCTATGAAAACCTACAATCACATTACTCTACTGTTTAATTTTTCATACCTTTTGCCACACCGCCCTCTCATTTTCTATTTTATCCAAAGCCAGTAACATTTCAAGATTTCACTACAACCTTCCATATATGTTGCAGAACACAAAACTTATATTACACAACATATACAGTGAAATAACACTATGCAACTGTATAACTCTAACCTAATCTAGTCACTAGTAACCTAGTGATTAGTATAGAATCATATTCTCATACTCAGTAAATACTAAGATACCTGGTCTAGAAAATTATTACTTCAAAAATTCAGAATATAAAAATATACTGCCAGGGTAAATGACAAAAAGAATCCTAGGAGAAAAATATATAACAATAAATATGGCTATAAATTTCACAAAATTGGGCCAAGGATGTAGCTCAGTGGTCCTGGGGTTCAATCCCTGTACCAAAAAACAAAAAACCCCAAATTTCACAAAATTAAACAAAGTTTTTGTATAGCATGGTTGAATCCACGCTCTAAGAGTGCTCAAGTGAAACTGGTGACTACCTATATTGAAATATAAACAAAACCCCAAAATAAAAGAAAGTCTAAAGACAAGGCAGACAGTCAATGAGAGTTTTAGCAACTGAAATATTTCTTACTGGCTGTAAAGGTTGTGGCTGCCCTGGAGTAACAATTGTAGTTACGGCTGCAGTTGGCTGTACCACCACTCCTTGTGGGTGAGCTGTGAAAATTTGCTGTCCCTGGATATACTGAAGACTTGGCTGGGCATAACTCTAAAAGATAAAATGAAGAAATTAATAATCTGTAATTTCTAGATCTAATAAAGCGGTAACCAACTTCCAAGATGGCATAATCTTATTGGCAGATAAACCCATTAAATTTCTCATAAACTTTTTATGCATGTATTTGGATGCAAATGTGTAAAGCAATCTTTGTTCGAGCATAAAAGTTTATTTTTACAAAAATTCCCTATTCATTTACTTTGATTTCACTTTGTCATAAGAATATAGAACTTTTTTTTGCTCATGGACACTCTCCACTAGCTTCACTTTATTTTTTGAATTTTTTTGGTACCGGGGATCGAACTCGGGTCCTTGTGCTTGTGAGGCAGGCAGTAGAACCACTGAGCTAAATCCCCGGCTAGTATCACTTTAATGACATGCTGGTCTTAGGACAGCCAAGAAATAGCTCCATGCTGCTCTTTTCAGGAAACCTTTTCGCTATCAACTAGCAGTAACTTGCAAGTTGTTCTGATGGAATAAAGTTAAAGGGAGTGAATCACAGAAAAAAATGATCAAATTTCAAGCTCATCTGTTTTAGCTTTTTGTAATCTGCTAATACAACCTCTACAAAGACAGCAGAATTTAATCCACCTAAAATTTTCACCACACACTTGATTTACAACACACCCTATTAGGATGCAGAAACCTCTTTCATATATATTATCTCATTTAGTCCTAACCACCTAAGATGCAAGTATTGCCTGTGCCCTCGAGTTTCATAAGAAATAAGTACTATGTCTAGGAATTAAACCTATTCTGCAATTATTTTTCAACCACAACAAAGCCTGCTTAAAGAAGTAACAAGAAGCCTAAAAAATAACTTTCCTGACCTAAAAGGAGTGACTGCTAAAGAATTGTATCCATTACTTAAAAACAGATTTGGATCCTATGGACTAAGATTCTACCAGGTAAAATGATTATAAGCATTAACTGATAAGTACTCCAAATCCTAAATACAGTAGACCCTTGACTTACGAGCTTGATCAGTTCACGAGGGCTGGTTATAATTCAAGATGGTTGTAAGTCAATACAGCTGAGATCTGAATGTTTACCTGGGCACCCACTAAAGCTAACAAAAGGCACATGACTCTCCCATTAACTAATTAACCCACTGTTCGTATGTTAGGCCAGTCATAACTTGAGAATCCACTGTAAAACAATCACAAATGGTACCCAAGTAATGTAAAAAGGCCAATGCAGCTACTTAACAAATTTCTGGACTAGTAACCAACCAGTACTAGTAACACATACTGAGGATCAGATCCAGGGGCAATCTAATACTGCATCATATCCCCAACCCTTTAAAAATTTTTAAATTTTGGGACAGGATCTTACTAAATTGTCCAGGCTGGCTTCCAACTTTTGGTCCTCCTACCTCAGACCCCACGTAGCGGGATTATAGGCATGCACTACCTACCAATGGTGTGAGTGCTCTACCACTGAGATACATTCCAGCCTTTAGATAAACACTTTCTGAGCAGAGAAAACAGTAGGAAAGGAAAAGAAGAAGAATACTTGAAGCTGCTGCTGGTGGAGCACAACTGTAATTCCAGCAATCTGAGACACTGAGGCAGAAGGATCACAAGTGTAAGCCTGCCCTGGGCAGCTTAACCCTGTCTCAAAATTAAAAGGACTAGAGATGTAGCTCAGTGTGAAGGTCCTGCGTTCAACCCCTAGTACTGGGAAAAAAACAAAGAATTTGTCTGACAAGATCAGAGAGTTAAAAAAGGCTCATCATGGGCCACGGGATTTAGCTCAGTGGTTCCGACACCTGCCCGGCAAGTGCAAGGTCCCAAGTTCATTCCCGAGTACCAAAAAAAAGTCTCATCATGCAGACATTTTAAAGTGTTGATTACTATAGAATCAAGTTGTGGTTTCTTTAGCATGAAGATGGGCTCCAAATGTTGGCTGTGAGATAACTTCTGGACTGAAATGGCATTATGTAGCTTGATTATGACCTATATTTACAGAATAAGTCTCCAATTTTATGTTTCTTAAATATAAAAGATGTTAAGGGATGACAATTTACCATCAAGAATAACAAAGAATAACTTCCAAAGGAAAAGGTAAAGCGTGCTGAACAACATCAGCTCTGCTAGACAAATCACCCAAGATCACTGCATTCATTAGATTAATTATTTTTTGTTGTGTTTTGCTTTTGAGACAGGGTCTTGCTATGTAGTTTAGGCCTGCCTTGAACCCGTGGTGACCCTTCTGCTTCAACCTCAGGAAACCTACTGTTAAAATAAAGGAAAAATGAGAAGGGCTCCCTATCCCTAAAACCAGTGATAATTATATGCCAACATCAAACTAACAATAGTGATATATACTTTAAAAAACAAAACAAAACAGACTTCAGGCTTTTACAAATATCACATACCTGCTTAAATCTAATGAGGGGAAATCTGCTGGAGACTGACTTGCCCTTTGAAATGACCTGAATTTATACAAAAACTAATTTCTTAAATGTAAATCTGTCTAGAAATATCTTTAAAATGTGGTTTTTAATGGGAATTACAAGAGAAATCTAAGAAAGTTCAACATGTTGTAGAAAGGTAAACATACTTTTTGTGCCTCGCTTCTAGGGACAAAAAAACCCCTCACCATTAATAATATCTAAATCACTTCACTGAATAAAGTAAAAAAAGTGTAGTCAAGCACTCAATATTTTGGGGAGTGATAACTTTGTAAAAATAGGTCACTTATTAGTGTCCCAAGATCAACATCTATCAAATGACCTCTGCTGAAGTTAAACTTTGGAGTTGTGGATGTTGCTCAGAAGTAGAGCTCTTGCTTAGCATGCATGAGGGCCCAGGTCCAATCTCCAATACAGCCAAAACCCCAAAAGTTTTTATATTTAATATGCAGTTATGATAAAGGGTTAAAGTTACCTTCTGATAACACATTTGTTGGAAAATTATACTAAATATGTACATACACATATGACACAAATTTAAATCATGTTACATATTATTTCATCATTAAGGGTACTGACAGCCTGCAAATTCTCAGCAGCCTGTGTTGGTATAGTTGATGCTTGAACAACGAAGATCTCAAAGATTCTTCCTGGAGATCACATCTTTGGGCTACCAGTGAGCTTAACTCAGCTGTATTTCACAGCCCATTAATGTCAATACTCCCTCAACATTATTAAGGTAACTGAGTGATAACTTTCAAGATATATGGTGCTTTCAATTATTGTTAGTATCTCATGAAAATCTCAACCACGGTGAGACATTCTGCTCATTTTATAGATGGAAAAACCAACATTCAAAAAAAGCATATAAGTGACTATCTCCAAGACACTACCCAAAGCCCCAAATCATCTCTGATCAACTAATGTTTTTGAGAGGCAAAAGGACAAACTGAATTATACTTGTCCATATATCTATTACTCAAGCATACATAAAAAAGATTATGGAATTAATAAGGACTACGTGATAGACTCAAAGACAGAAAACAAAACTGTGATGCTTGAGCATTGCTCCTGATAACTAAACTTAAGAGAAACCTTTTGCTTACTGGGATAGAAAACACAGATTGTGTTTTGTTGGTTTTTTTAAGAGTAGGAAAAATTTATTGGGAGAAAGAAAGCGTCTACCTAAGAGAGACAGAAGCAGGGGGCAGATTCTGTTTTGTAAGAACCACCATATAACCACTGGGCTCTTTACTGAGGAGTCTTTAACGGATATTCCAGTGATGTTGCTTCGGCTCTAACACTGAAATTGAAGACACACTTCAAGAATAGGAATGGGAGTGAAGTACAGTGGACCCTTGACTTACAAACTTAATTCATTCTTAGAGGGCTGATTGTAACTCATGGTGGTCAACTGAAGGCTCAGGCTCCTCTACACAGCCTTCAAAGTCTCTCTCCTATATACAAGCAGATTTCAGTGTCCTTAGAGAGTCACTGGCCCAGGATTTCTCAACCCCACACAGGAAAGGCTGTTATAATGTTCCTTCCAGAAATCTTTAAGGATTAAATCTATATCTGAGACCATCTGGGAGCACAAGCGGCTGGCATTCGGGTCGTAACTCAAGATTTTAGTCATAAAACTAAAATGCCAGTCGTAACCCAAGTTGTTTGTATGTCAGGTCGATTGTAACTCAAGAGTTCACTGTAAACTTTTTTTTTTAAGCTGGGGATTGAACCCAGGGCCTTGTACATGTTAGGCAAGTGCTCTACTATTGAGCTGCATTCCCCAGCCCTTATGTAAACTATATTTATTGTACCTCTGATACATTTTTTCAGGGAAAAAACTTTCAAAACTAATGGCTTGGTCTAAGAAAGAATATGGCAAGATAAAGCAGGACAAGTTAGGACGCAACATATTTAAGATTTCTAAAACTGCCAGGTTTGGTGGCACATACCTACAATCCCAGCACTCTGAAGGCTACAGCAGGCAGAAAGTAAGTTCAAGGTCAGGCTGGGCTACAAACTGAGACCTTGTCTTAAAAAAAAAAAAAAAAAAAAAAAAAATCTCGGGCCGAGGATGTAGCTCAGCAGCACAATGTCTACCTGGCAAGCAAGAGGTCCTGAGTTCATTCATGGTAGAAAAAAAAAATCTCGTAAGACATTCTAAAGGAGGCAGAATTAATCATACAAATATGTATATGTATATATACAAAGAAAATTCTTATCTAGTGCCAATAATGTCTATTTTCTTACTAGCCTTATTTAGCAATATTCAAGTCAAATTTTTAACAAAAAAATCCAACAAAATAATCACGTATTAAGAAACTTCACATGGTAAGCAAAATAAGCTAGATTCAGAAAGTCAAGTATTGCATGTTTTCCCCCTAATATGTTGAATCTAAATACAAAACAAAACCAAAGAGGAAAATAAAAAGAAATACTATTAGACAAGAGGAAGGGAGTATGAGGATAGGGGAAGGGGATATAAGGAAAGGTAATGGGGGGGAATGGATATGATCAAAATATGTTAGATGTATGTATGAGATACCGCATTGGAAGTGCAAGGTCCTGAGTTTGATCTCTAGTACCAAAAAAAAAAAAAGAAAGAAAATACCACATTGGAAGCAAGTATTATGTAAATTAATATGAACTAATGAAAAAAAATATATTTTAAAAGTTCAATGCAATATCATTTATAATTATGAGAAAGATCTTTCCATTTAAATGACTACCCCAGGGAAATGGATAATGACATTACAGGCAAATGAGAAAAATCATAACTATTAAAATGTGTATGTATGTGTATACACATACACAAAGACACATAGTAATATGGGAAAAGTCATGTTAAGTAGGAAAACATGAGATTCAAGACTACAAATACCTAAGATATATAAACATGTGGTTAAAGAAATCATAAAAAATAAAAGTATTAATTCAGCTAAGGTTCTAGGAATTAAAGGACACTTTGCCATGGCCATTTAAAAAATATTTGAGCCTGGCATAGTGGTTTGGATCTATAGTCCTAGCTACCTAGGAGGCTCAGGTAGAATCAGTTGAACCTGTCCATTAATCAACCTGGGCAACAGAGAGAACCTTCCTCAAAAAATATTTTTTATATAGCTTTACCACAAAAATATTAAGTATTATATAATAATTTTTACTTCTCTAAGTGATATGTAGAAGAAACATTGTTTGGAGTCTTCTGTATCCGCAATAATTCATCTTTAAAGTGATGGGAAAGCTGGGCGTGGTGACGCACACCTGTAATCCCAGCACTTGGGAGGCTGAGGCAGGAGGAGCGCTGCAAGTTCGAGGCCAGCCTGGGCTACATAGTGAGTTGAGGGCTAGCCTGAACTACAAAGCGAGATCCTGTCTCAACAAAACCAAACTAAAACAAACAAAGAAGTGATGGGAAGGACACAAGAATGTGGTAAGAATGATGTTTAATCCTTTTTTTTTTTTAAGTTTAAAAATGTACTGCTTTGTTTTCTTGGGCGGGAAAAAAGAAATCTGATTTAAAAACACAAAATATACTTTGAAATATAAAATCAGTATTCTTACCTTTTAAATTCACTATTATTTCCTACCAAAAAATAACCTCAGGCTCAGTGTATCAAAACCATTCTGGGGCCGGGGATTTAGCTCAGTGGTTTCGCCGCCTGCTGTGCAAGCGCAAGGAACCGAGTTCGATCCCTGGTACCAAAAAAAAAAAAACCATTCTGGCCAGCTTCATGAGAGTAATAAGTAGCCAGGCGTGGTGATGCACACCTGTAATCTGAGCACTCTGGATGTCTGAAGCAGGAGGATCACGAATTTGTGCCCAGGCTGGGCAATTTATGGACACCTAGTCTCAAAATAAAAAGGGCTGGGGATGTAGCTTACTGTGAAGACTCTAGGTTCAATCCCTAATACCATGGGATAGGGTAGGGGGTAGAGGGGAATAATGTACAAACTAGGTCTAAAGGAAAACAGGACAAGCCATAAAGGGTTCTCATTTGGCAGGAATACAGAATAATCATCTATGTAATTCACTATTTGTAAGCAACAAGGAGAGGATTAACACAAAAAACAATTATGTTAATACCAAATTATTTTCACTAGACAGTAGTAGTTGCCAAGCCTCCATGATGACTCCTCATGATCACCATTTCCTGATACTCACACTTAGGCCATCTCTCCTCCCTCCCTGGGGTACCAATACAATATAGCAGAAGTGATGGTTATATTTTTTTTTTTGAGACAAGTTCTCACTATGTAGCCTAGGCTGGACTCAAATACATGGTGATGCTCCTGTCTCAGCTTCCCGAGTGCTGGGATTACAGGCATGCACCACCAAGCAGGGCTCACTTCTAAAAAATACATTATAGAAGACTGTAGTTCCTGCAGTTGGTCATTTCTCCACCCACCTTGATCACTTGCTTTAGGGAAAATAGCTGATAATTTAGTGAGCAGCCCTATTGAGAAGCCTAAGCAATGAGGAACTGAGGCTTGTTAGGGACCAGAAGTGAGGTGGAAAGCAAATTCTCCATTCCTAACCTAGCTTTCAGATGAGTGCAGCCCAAGCTAAGAGCTTGACTTTAATTTCACAGAAGACCCTTAGCCAGAACCACCCACCAAAGCTGCTTCTGAATTCCTGGCCCACATGTACAAGCCCCTGTGTTCAATCCCTAGAACCAAGGGAAGAAAAACTTACGTGTGTATACACATACATACATACACACACACACAAGCAATTCATGACAGGACTTTTATCTTTTGTACCAAATTTTCTAACACCCACAGACACTCAGAAAAAAAGGTAATAGAGTTAGATACCTGTACAATTGGTGGAGTTGTCTGTGAATAAGATGTCACACCATAAACACTTGGACATGTCTGTCCTTGATAATATATGGTTGCTTGAGATTGTGCAGGAGAGTACTGCTGCTGTACACTGACA